GTTCCTCTCTTCTTCCTGCTAGTCCTCCCCGTCTCCCCATTGCACACGTACTCCCCATGAGAGGAGGCGGTCATGTGGCCTTCCGTCACATTGCTCTTCTCATCGAGGCTGGATTCTTTCAAGTCTGTGATTCTTACTGCCTTTACAGTGTTACTAGCCAAATCTCAGAGAAAATGAAAGGAGATGTTGGATTCGATCATATTAGAACTTTATCTTAAACATTGCTAAAAATCAATGGAATCATTAGCTCATGTTATCCAGTCTATTTTAGTGGTAAAGATATCTTCTAATACACGAAGAGGTAGTGAAAATATTTATTTTTGAAGGCTGATACATTGCAAACAAGTTAATTGTTGAAGTGTGTTTGGTATATGTTCAATTAAATTTTGAGTGCTTTGTATATGTGTTAATGCATAAAAGATCTTTTAGAAATTGTGGAGAAGAAACTTTTAAATTATCAATGGAATCATTAGCTCATGTTATCCAGTCTATTTTAGTGGTAAAGATATCTTCTAATACACGAAGAGGTAGTGAAAATATTTATTTTTGAAGGCTGATACATTGCAAACAAGTTAATTGTTGAAGTGTGTTTGGTATATGTTCAATTAAATTTTGAGTGCTTTGTATATGTGTTAATGCATAAAAGATCTTTTAGAAATTGTGGAGAAGAAACTTTTAAATTAGTTCTACTGTGTGTGTGTGTGTGCACACGTCTTCTATGTGTTACCACATTAATATATGCAGCCACTGTAGTAGTATCAACCAGTGAGACTCTTGCTCTTTTCATTTGTCACTACAGATGTGGTAAAAGGTGAAACGATTCTTCCAGTATTTGATGAGCCCCCAAATCCAACCAACGTTGAAGAGAGTTTAAAGAGAATTAAAGAAAATGATGTTCGTCTTGTTGAAGTTAATTTGAATAACATAAAGGTAGGTGTGCTAGGCACGTGGTAAAGTTTCAAATTGCTTTCAGGCAGTTGGATCTAGGATGCGAGCTGGGCAGTTTTCATATCATATAATTCTTTCTACTTGGCTGTAAAGTTTTTGCTCCTAACAGTATGCCAACATAGATTCCTTCATACTATAGAAATTAAAGTATTGTAGTATTTTCCTGACATGCTTTTTAAAGAGTATCATATAAAAATATAAACCTTACAGGCTGTCAGCGTAAATCTCTGGCTTCCAGAGTACTGCCTGCTTTTAACAGCATGCAGTCTTTTGGGTTTCATTTTTTCCATCAGATTTCCTGAAGTATAATTTATACATAGTAAAATTCTCCCTTTTTAGTGTACTACAGTTCTGTGGACTTTGACAAATGCGTACAGTTGAACAAGGACCACCACCATCAGATATAGAACATATCACACCCCTTTGTCATCATTTTCTGCCCCCAGCTCCAGCCCCTGACAACCCCTGAAGTGTCTCCTTTCCCCATCATTTTGCCTTCTCCAGAGTGTCGTGTGAATGGAATCACATGGCAGTACGTAGCCTTTTGAGTGTGGCTTCTTTTGCTTAGCATAATGCGTTTGGGATTCATCCATGTTGTTGTGTGTGTCAGTAGCCTGTTCCTGTGTATTGTTGAGTGGTATTCTGTTGTATGGGTATGCTGCGATTTGTTTCTCCACTCACCAGTTGGTAGACCTCTGTGTTCCTTCTAGTTTGGGATGATTATGAGAAAGCCACTGTATACATCCACATGCAGTCATATGTCTTGTGTGAACATACGTTTTCATTTACCTTGAATAAACCACTAAAAGTGGGCTTTCTTGGATCTTATTGGGTTTTAAAACAATGCGACGCTTCCTTGGAGTAAATAAAGAAGAAATGAGTTAGGAGAGCAGAGGGGTAATTAATTACCAAAGGGTAATCTCAGATTAGCTCTTGGGTATTGGCCATTGTATTATAGCTTCATTACAAATTCCTCATTTTAAATCTTGATTTGTCTGTATTGGGTGTAGAGGGAGCATCTGAATTACAAGAATCTAGGGAATAAGACCTCTGTGCTCCTTTAATGAGCGTTCCTTCCTGTACATGGAGGAAAGAAAGCCTTGGGAAAGCTAATATCCCTCGTTGATCACTAATCTTCATTTTTTTAAAAATTAGGTCCTCATATATCTCTCTAAATCAACAGTAATGATCTGAAAATAACCAGGCTACAGGGAACTGAAGTCTTGGTACTAAAAAAGGAAGAAATTAGTGCCTTCTAGAACTATACCTTTCCACATTTCAAGTAGTGTAGGGTTAATCTCTCTTAGTACCATGTAGCTTAAATTAGGTGACTAAGAACAATATGTCATCGCCCTCAGTAATCGCCCTCATTAGAGGTGGGCTCCCCCATCTCTCTTTGTAGAAAAGTGGATCCACTTTGAACACTCAAGCGTTGACTTCTTTGTATTATGAATAATGAAAAGTTGAATAGTGAGAGTTTCTTCAACCTAAATAGTCGAGAAATGGTGATATATACCCTACTCTAGGTCAACAGTTTGTGCAGACGTACCATAATGGAGAAGTCAAATAGATATGGGGGAGGCTGAATTGTTTTCATTTGTAGACTAACTGTTGTGTGTTCATGTAATTTCTGAATACATTTTAATGAAAAAAAGTAAGTACAAATATATTTGATTAATGGACTGAATCTCCTGAAAACTAAAATGTAATAATGTTCCGCATCATTTGTCTTTCAAGAATATCCCAATTCCAACCCTAAAAGATTTTGCGAAGGCTTTGGAAACCAACACACATGTGAAACATTTCAGTCTTGCAGCCACCCGGAGCAACGACCCCGTTGCTGTTGTAAGTAAGCTACTATTGATAATATTGAAATTATGACTACGTACCAAGGTATGTTACAGAGGGGCCTAAACTGTGATTTATGAACAAGATTTACTCCTTTTTTTCGATTGATGTTTAGCTCATTATGTACTACCCTTTTATGTATATTTTTTCCTATGAATTTTTAAAAATATAAATGGAGTCATGCTGTTCTGCAACTCAATTTTTCACTCAACAGCATATCTTACAGATCTTTTCATTTAGTGCATTCAGTTCTGCATCATTCTTTTAACATCTGCAGAGGATTCCATTTGTGTATCTGTCATCTTGGATTTTTGTCAAATGCTTTTTCTGTGTCTGTTGAGATGATCATGTGGTTTTTGTCCTTTATTCTAGCAATATGATATATTACATTGATTAATTTTTGTATTAAGTCAACCTTGCATCCCTGGGGTAAGTGATGGTATGAACCTTTTCCTTCACTTGGCTTTGAGCACATCACTCCCTTTGATTCTCCTCCTGCCTCACTGGACATCCCTTCTCTGGTCCCTACACTGGTTCTTCCTCATCTCCCCAGTCTCCAAACATTGGAATGGCCCAGGGCTCAGTCCTAGGCCTTCTTCTTTTCTCTATCTACACTCACTTCCTGGGTGATCTCATTCTGTTTTATTGCTGCCTCTTGTCTGTCTATGCTGGTGACTCCCTGTGTCGTTATCTCCAGTTCATACCTCTCTCCTAAACTCCTACTCATGTCCAGCTCCCTACTTAACAGCTTTACTTGGATGCCTCATAGACATCTCAAATCAACGTCCCAAGCCAAACCCCTGGCTCCTATCCCATACCTGCTTCCCTCACACTCTTTCCTTTCTCACTAAATAGCAGCTTTATTCTTTCATTTGTTTAAGCCCAAAAAACTGGAGTCATCCTTGACTTCCCTTTCTCACAACCTTAAATGTATATCCAGCCCTGTCTTCAAAATATTTCTAGAATTCAACCACTTCTCACCATTTGCACAACTACCACTGTGGTCCAGGCCGCGATCTTCTCTCATCTGCATTATTGCAACAGCCTCCCGCTTGAGCTGCCTGCTTCCTTCCGTCTTACCCACCCCAAAGCCAACTCTTTACACAGGATCAAAAGTGATTCTTTTAAAACTTAAGCTAAATGACCTCCTTCCTATACTCAGAACCCTCCACAGCTCCCTATCTCACTAAGAGTAAAAGTCAAAGTCTTTAGTGGCCTCGTAAGGCATTCCATGAGCAGATCTCTCCTTTACTTGCCCTTTCATTCTACTCTTACCCATGCAGCCTTCTTGCTCCTCCTCACACATGTCACTCATGCTCCAAACTCAGGGCCTCGACACTTGTTCCTCTTGCCTAGAACTTTCTCCCTAAAAATATTATACATGGTTTCACTTCATCACTTTATTGGAGTCTTTGCTGAAATGAATGAGCCTTTCTGGTGAGGCCTTTCCCGGCCCTTCATGTACAATAGCAGCCCCACCCTTACCCCCAGCACTCTACTCTACTTTGCCTTTCTTCCTCCATAGCCTTTTTTACCATCAGACATTGCATTTTCTTACTTGTTCATTATCTCGGCCCCTACTAGAATGTAAGTTCTATCAGGCGGGGACTTGTAGGTTTTATTTCTGAATCTACAGAGCAGTACTTGTCAAATAATAGGCCATCAGTAATATCTGAATAAATGTGTGTGCAGATGCATGGGTAAGGGATTTGTTCCAGGCCACATAGCTGGTTGTCGCCAGTAGGAAGTACAGGTGTGTAGATACCTGTCCCAAGTTCTTTCTAGTGTCCCTGCCCCCATTGCCCTTTATCTTTTTCTTCTTTTCTTTAAAGATTGACACCTGAGCTAAGAACCGTTGCCAATCTTTTTTTTTTTTCTGCTTTATCTCCCCAAATCCCCCTGGTACATAGTTGTATATCTTAGTTGCAGGTCCTTCTAGTTGTGGCATGTGGGACGCTGCCTCAACGTGGCCTGGCGAGCAGTGCCATGTCCATGTCCAGGATCCAAACCAGCGAAACCCTGGGCCGCCGCAGTGGAGCTCAGGAACTTAACCACTCCGCGATGGGGCCGGCCCCGCCCTGTCTTTATCTTGACCTACCTTTAGGCTTGATCTTACCTGTATTTTCTGGAGTTTGACCTTGCTTTTGACCCCTCAACAGGGCTGTTTTATATAAACTCGCACTCATATTCTTCCTCCTCTCTCTCTCTCGCCTCTTCTCCCTCTGCTCACTTGCAGGTGTCTGTTAATTAATTAATATGGTGTTTATTTAGCACTGAGTTGAATGCCTAGCACTACCATACCCTGTAAGAACTGTAATGGGAGCAGATTGAAGACATACAACCCTTGAGGAATTTAATATTTAGTTAGCCCTTCTTCTCCGTGGTCTTTGTGCTCTTGCAGGTCTAGTTATCTGTGATCTTTTCTGGCCTTCTGCCTCAGGCTTTCCTTTTGGTCTCTGCCTTGGAAATTAGTCCCTAATGTACCCTCATTTTGGCTTCACGGTAACCGAGCTGCGGCAGGACCCAAGTAAGAAAAGATGTTCCAAAGAGACATTGATGAAGTTAGTCCTCCAAAGAAACTGAGAGAAAGTCTGAGAGACACAGGAGGAGGAAGCATGCAGTAGAGTATGAATGAACTTAAGAACGTGACTAGCCGTAGAGAGTGTTACAAAGAGAATTACATGCAACAAAAAAATCTAAAGATTGTGACAGGTACGTGTGAAAAGTAGATACATGTGTGGCCTGTGAGGTAGTGTCAAACTAAAACAGTCTAACGAGAAACATTAAGGCAGTTATGTTGGTTAGTATATTTGTTTATGGCATGTACACTGTATAATGGTGCAGTCAAATTTTAATCTCCAAATACTTTCTTTAATTTTTAGGCTTTTGCAGATATGCTGAGAGTGAACAAAAACTTGAAGAGCTTAAATATGGAGTCCAACTTTATTACAGGCGCTGGGATCCTAGCACTGATTGATGCTTTAAGAGATAATGAAACCCTGGCCGAGCTCAAGATTGACAATCAGGTCTGTGTTCTCCAGCAGTGACTTTGACCAAGCACAGCCCGCACTGCTGTGTAGGGCGTGGGGACTCAGGAGGTGGGCGGGAGGAGGGCTTCCAGGGGGCCCTTTGGGAAGGTGGGGGCCTGAAAAGGGATAAGGGGACACCTGAGGATCCAGAATATTAACTTAATATTTTTAGCATAGGTTTTTAGTATTTTCATAGTTATGCAACCATCGCCACTGTCTAATTCCAGAACATTTTCATCACCCCAAAAAGAAACTCCATACCCATTAATAGTCACTCCCTACTCACCCATCCCACTAGCCCCTAGCAACCACTAATCTACTTTCTGTCTCTATGCATTTGCCTATTTTGGGTAGTTGATATAAATGGAATTATATAACGTGGTCTTTTGTGTCTGCCTTCTTTCAGTTAGCAAAATGTTCTGGAGGTTCATCTATGTTGTAGCATATATCAATACTTGTTCTTTTTTATGGCTGAGTAATGTTCTATTCCATTTGTGTTCTTTCTACTTTTTGAACGTTAGGAATAATGCTGCTAAGAACATTTATATGCAAGTTCTTATATGGACTTAGGTTTTCATTTCTCATGGGTATATACTTAAGAGTAGAATTGCTAGGTCATATGGTAACTCTGTGTTTAACTTTTTGAGGAATGGCCAAATTATTTTCCACAGCAATTACACCATTTTACATTCCTGCCAGTGTGTCTGAGGGTCCCAGTTTTTCCACATTCTTGCCAATACTTGTTATTGTCTGTCTTTTGGATGATGGTCATCCTTGTGGGTATGAAGTGGTATGATCCACACTTTTTGATGTCTGTATGATCATATACTGAACTCTAAAATTTTGTTTCTTTTATGAATGTTGTAAAATTTGGGAAAATCTAAAAAAGACCAACAGAATCAGCATGTACCTGAATGTCTTATTCTGACTTACCTTGAAAAATGTTTTGATCTAGTTTATTGACACTGTTCTTTATTTCTAATTATTCCAGAGGCAGCAGTTGGGGACAGCTGTAGAATTGGAAATGGCCAAGATGCTTGAGGAAAATACAAATATCCTTAAATTTGGATATCAGTTTACACAGCAGGGACCCCGAACCAGGGCAGCTAATGCCATAACGAAAAACAACGACTTAGGTAAGAAATGCAGCATCAAATAGAATTTTTGAATTGTCTCATTAAGTTACTGTATAGGACAGACCTTTTGTCCTTTTAAAATAAATTTTAACAGAGAGCGGTTACTCAGCCTCGGTTTCTGAAACCTGCACGGTTCTTCTTATACTGATTGAATTACAGTTCAGTTTCAGTGAGGTTCTGGTGATTATTACTTAGTGGGTAAAATCTGTTCCCTGTCACAAACACAGTTTTCAGTGAACAAACATTTTTCTACGACAAACGTTGTAATAAATCCTTCCTATAACACATACTGGTTCTCAGTTACAACTCACCCCTCGGAGCTATTAAAACAAAGATTTCAACATTTACAGGAAAGTGTTTTGCCCTTTTTATCAAACGGTGGATGGAAATTTAATTTTATACGATAAAATATAGAAAAGCATCGTTTTAACTGAAGGCCTGCAGTCAGCGGTACGTGCATGTTGGCCGTGCCTACCTGTGTGCCTGCCACAGCCATGCTGCGCTGTGTCGCTCTTCTCTCCGCTCGCGTCTTGGGCGGTAGTTTCCCGTTCTTTCATGGGTCCTATTGAACTGCTGAGGCTTGTGGCTTCTGTTGGAAGTAAATTTTCCAGCAAAGGCTGAATTAAAGAATATGATACTTATCATTTCGTTTCTAAAAATTGACTCTTCAGTTAAGTTTGGTGATTGTCCCTGAAATATTTTAAAAGATGCAGTTAGACAAGAATTTAAATAAGACTTCTTAAAGGGAGGAACATTTCAAAGTGATGCAGTTCTTTGAAGCTTCAGCCATATTTGAGTTTGTGTTCTTTAAAGGTTTCTGGAGCAGAAAAAATACAGCTCCATTCTTTAATTGAGGTCACTGTGAAAAGTATTAGTTCAAACCCCTTCTGTCCTTTGATGACTGTAGTTTCCCATAGAAGAATCTAGCCTCTTCCTCTTTAAAAGAGAAAACTGGTGTGTTTCAGTGTATTGCTGATTCTGGAGGTAGTCTGCAAAGTCATGCTAATTGTTTTAGTATTGGGTCACTATTCGACTTCTGTTTTTTTCCTTCACGTATTTAATTTTGCTTTGTAGAGCAATGTTTCTCACGTCTGGCTGAACTTGACAAATAATTGGAAAGTTTTAAGGACACATAGGTTACTGGCTCTAGAATAGTGTTTTACTTAGTAAGTTATACTTCATTGTAATTATTTATTTTCAAAGACTGCAAGCTATTTGAGGACAGGGGCCAGAACTAGCTGTTGAATCCACAACGCTTTTAAAACCATGCCTGACAGTAGGAGGTACTTAAAGATTTATTAAGTGAATAAAGAAAGTGATGGAATTTGAACTCTGCTCAAAGTTACAATTTTCTGGTAACTGATTAGCCGTAAACTTAAACCGGAAGTATCCTCCATTTTTCCTCTCCTCTGAAACTGCCTTAGCTTTCCCAGGATTTGTAGCCCCCACTGTCTGTGACACCTTTGTCCCTCCCAGCAGCTGTCCTGCACGAGCAGCACAGTGAGAGCCCATGTCAGCGACAGGGACACCAAGTTTTGCAAGGCCACAGCATTTGTGCTCTTCTGCTGAGCTGATCGTGGCAGGCACTTTGCCCAGATTTCTGTAAGAAAAGAAATGAGCAAGGGAGATTTTGGCAGATGGAAGATGAGGGGACAGACGAAAACTCTCTCTAGGCTGCTTTATGCTGACACTGAGCAGTGGAGTAGCTGTCCACGGCAGCGCGTAATCGAGGATGGGGAGGCCACGTTGCAGAAGTTGTGGTCTGACATGAAGCAGAATGGAGAGAAAGCAAACAGCTTGGTGCTGAGAACTCTCTAGACACCACCCCCCCCCCCCCCCAAGTTGTTTCATTCCGATCCAAACTAGACTTTCAGATGTGGGTCTCAGGCATGAAGTGAAAATAAAGACATTCCTGGAGTAGGGAATTGCATGGATAAAAGCTCAAATTTGGGAGCAAGGAAGTTATTTCTATGCTGAGGACAGCCTCCAGATTTTGAGAACTATCTCTCATAGCAAAACATTCCTCCAGAATAAACTTTCAGTAAGTACTTGCTGCTTGAAGCTAACACAATAAAAATGTACTGTCAGCAGATTCAGAGGGGATGCTGGGAGAAGGCACTAAAATTGCATGGTAAAGAACTTAGATCTCTTTGGATTTTACATGGGAGGCATTTGAGAGCCATTGTAGGCCACTGAATGCATGATTAACGTGATGCTTAAAAGAAAACTATTCTCATTACTCCTCTAGTGATAGGATGTGAGGTTAGCTAGGACTGACTCGCAGTTGACTGATCATGAAGCATTGAGAACTTATGTTGGTGGCGTGGGCTTTGGAAAGAAATTGCCAAAGAATTGTTCATGGGCCACATTTCTAAGCCTCTCCTCTAGAGGGGGAACTGAGGAATTGCTGGAAGGTAACGAGTAGGCACCGAGTGAGAAAGAGGACTTGGAAGTGGCCCTTTGCCCCGTCTTCTGCTGTGTCGTGCTCACGGCACCCTCCGGTTGATTCTTGTTTGTCAGCCCTACGCTTTGATCTCTGCCTATAGATCAAGGGTGCGGGCCTGAAGACCATGTTTTCTTACATGCAGTTGAATATGTGGTCACCAGAAAGAGAGATCAAAGAACAAGACCTGAAACTTGTACAGAATTTCTTGGGCATATAATTTTTCTTCACCTTGCAAATGGGGCCGTATCAGATCTTTAGTGTTCTGATTCTGACGTCTCTCCCTCTCCTGTTGTTTTCTTAGCCTCCACTATTCATTGAAATAGTCATACCTACTCACCATCTTTCCAGCTAAGAAGCGTCACAGCTATAACAGCAAAGAGGTTATATGGTCCCCATGCAATATGCCATTAACTTCGAGTCTCATATTACTATCTTTACACTAGCTAACCTCTTACTCAATTTTCTACACCTTTTTCGTTTGTCCTATAGGTCTTGTTTATAACACGTATTTCTTTGTAGCATGCATTTTTAACATCTGAAATGGCCTGCCAATAACATCCAAACCCTTCTGCAATTCAAAATTGTCTTGGAAATGTTCTCCCTTAAGAATTATCTGGTTTGTCTTTCAGTTATTTCTGTTTTTCAGAAATCTGTATACAAGAATTAGGTTTGTATTTGAGGACTCAAGTCTCCAGTTGATTTTTTTCCCTTAATATTTCAATAAACACATGAAACTTGTTCTTGTTAACATAGACTAAAATTAGAGTCAGGGGTGTACTTAATTTGATAAGTATAAAATTGTTCCTGGGAACTTGATACTTTAGTCCTCCTGGTTTGTATTTTCTAGCTAGCACCCAGCCAGTGGCTGGACAAGCTTTCGTGCACATCACTTGAATGTCTGGGCTCAGCTTCTGAAGGCCAACAAACAGAAGCCAGCATCAGAATAGCGGGAGAGCAGAGCATCTGCAGCCTGGCCGCGGGGCCAGTGCACCTGTTGGCTTTTCATTCCTCTGTTAAACAGCCAGTTCAGGCTGAACAAAGGCAGTTGCCTTCCTACCGCTTCCATAGACAGAAGAGAGCGTAAAATTAACAGACCAACAATCTAACTTACACAGAGGAACTTACTGGTAAGAGTGTCAAAACCAATAACACGTAATTGCAGAACCTCTATAAAAGCTAAATGGGCTTTCCTTATCCCCAGATGATAGCTGACCAGGCCTTTTTACCGTCCCGTAGTCCTGCTGCGGTGGTTGATGAAGCTGAGTACTCTACTGAATGCTTCATGTGTTCTCAGTACTGCACTAGACAGCATGTCGTGCCTTTAATTGCACAGCCGTGAGGTAAAGATGTCATTATTCTCCTATGACAGCGGATGAGTTGAGGCTCAGAGAGGTTCGCTTACCTACCAAAGAACACACTACAAAAAAGGGGCAGAGCCGTGATTCACACTCTGTTTGTCACTGACTCCAGAACTGGTGCATTTTGTCCTCTGTAAATAGTTGCTGGCCACAACACTGAGGAGGCCTGACTGGTGGCTCTCAGCGAATGCTCTGTGTGGCTGATCGGTGAGAGGGAAGGTAGCAAGATCCTGAAGTTGGAGGCCTCGCCCTGCTGCCGGTGAGCCTAGTGGTTCCGGGTCACCAGTCCCTGAGGAGGCGGGGGCCTCAGATGGACACGCATCTTCATCAGCTGAACGAGTGGGCTAGCCCCTCTGGCAGCTGAAGTTGACGCTGGCCAGTGTGACCTCGCCACATTGCCAGGGTCTAAGACTTTCATTACTCTGTATTTGTGGTTTTCTCAGAGCCCTGCACTGGTTCATCTTGTAGGAGACAAGAGAAGGAAATTTTGGAGAGCAATAGCAAGTCCCTTGCCTGTAAAAATGACAAAAACGTTTTTACTATCTTCTTTCACAGACTAGGGAAATACCTCGTAGTGCCTAATCAGAAGAGCACGCAAATAGTTACTTTAATACTTTCTAATCCCAGCTGCCTGAATGTCATTTCAAAATTTCACACAGTAGTTTATTAGTCATTTTTTAAGGGAAGTATAAATTACTTTAATAAACAAATGAGACAGGCACAATGCCTCCAAGGCGATTGTTGACCTTTCTGTTCTAGATTTCTAACAATTGCTGCTGGGTCGGCACAGGGGAGCTCAGGGCATGTAGTTCCCATTTTGAAGCTCCTCAGTTTTCAACAGGTAGATGACAGTGATGAAGGATACGAATTTTTTTTTTAAGTTATTGTATTGAGATCATATTGGCTTACAACATTGTGTGAATTTTTTTTTATTATTGAGTTAATGATAGGTTACAGTCTTGTGTGATTTCAGTTGTACATTAATGTTTGTTGTTCGTGTTGTAGGTACACCATTTCACCCTTTGTGCCCACCCCCCACCCCACCTTTCCCCTGGTAGCCACTAATCTGTTCTCTTTGTCCACATGTTTAAATTCCTCATATGAGTGGAGTCATACAGAGATTATCCTTCTCTAACTGGCTTATTTCACTTAACATAATTCCCTCAAGGTCCATCCATGTTGTTGCAAATGGGACG